GAAATAAATCTCAGGTCTAGTTTATACTTTGGGCAGTGAGGAGACCACGAACAAGGACACCCAAACCCTCTAACTATGTTGGTTTGTTGACAACGGAAGAGGGCGCCTTCAGGGGTGAAGTCTAACAGCTGGAGAGTTACAGCGCCTGCTGTGGCTGTGTAGGGATGGAGAAAGCGTGGTGCAAAGAGTGCAGACACACACACCGGGGCTGCAATGTTCTCAAGTGCATTTTCCTGGGTGCAAGACATGTGTGTGAAAAGGTCAATGTGGTATAGTGGTTAGAGTATCAGATTAGGACGAGGGGAATCTAGCTTCAAATCCCTGCTCAGCTATGAAGCTCAGTGTTGACGTAAGATTCAACTGGAGAAGGGCCACATAGCCCAGTGGTAGGCCAACTTTGTACACAGCTTTGTATGTAGAAGGTGCCAGGTTCAGTTCCTGGCATCTTCTGGTAGGGCTGGGGGAGACCCCTGTCTGAAATCCTGGTGAGTATAGGAGATACTGAGCTAAGCAGGTGAATGGTCTGCCTCGGTAACTGCCCTGAACCCCTGGCCTACCTGATCCACACAAGCTACCGGTAAATCCAAAGACCGAAGCTCAGGAAACGAGGTTCAGTGGTGATCCAAGTAGCCAAGTCCAAAGTCCTGCAGTCAAGATACAGTCCAGGGTCAAACCCAAAACACAGTCCCACGGAGGTCCAGGAGCACCCAAGTCCAGGTCCATCAACATGGGCAGTTAAGCAGACCCAGCACCTCAGCTCTGCTGCCCTTGTATACTTTGCCTGCTGACTGCAGCACCTGACCTTGATGAGGCATATGAGCCTCACCTGTTCCTAGCCTACTCCAGCTGAGGAATCACACCCCTTCTTTCAGAGCTAGTTTGCTGGGCTGTGGGCTCTTGCCTGCCTAAGCCTTCTGGAGTTCCCCTCCTGCTGTTCCCTATGCTTCAGAGCCCACTGTGTTCATGGGGACAGGGCCCCCTCTGGATCCGGTGATGGGTCCTGCTGCTCTGGTTCCTGTGCATTGTCCTCTGTCACCCCGTGATTACTTCCTACAACAACTTCTCCTTCCACATCCCCTGCTTGCCTCGGCGTGTCCCAGTCCCGGCTACACCCCTTGCTGGCATCCTCTTCCTCCTCCCCATTGCCCTGCCAGTTCACGACAGTAGTGGCAGATTGTTTCTGGAAGGGACGTAGCTCAGTGGCAGAGCATCTGCTTTAGATGCAGAAAGTCCCAGGTTCAATCTTCATCATTTCTGGGTAGGGCTGGGAGAGGAACTCTCTGCTTGAAGTCCTGGACAGCCACTGTCAGTTAGCATAGACAATACTGAGCTAGGTGGGTCAATGGCCTGACTCTATATGGCATTTTCCTATGTTCCTGTCAGTCTGGACAGCTTTTGTACATGGAGTGAGAGAGGCACCATCTTGTCCTTTGCCTCAGGCAGCAAAATGTCTTTGGATGACAAAAACTACCTGCTGTCTATATGGGGGGGGGGGGTAAGCGACTTTTCCTGATTTGGTACTCTGACTGGTACTCTTTTATCCTCCAGCAGACCAGTTAACCTTTTCTTTGTTGTTTCAGGAAGGTTTATGTTCTAATGCCAATTTAGCTGCAGAATCTTGAAATCTGATTTTATGTTTACTTACTTAGCTCATTTGTTAGACTATGTTCGTGTTAACAGTGTCAGTGTTGCTAAACATCAGATATTTTACTTGCCCATTCAGTTTTGCAGCCTCAAATTCAGTTTTGGGGATTTCGCTGAATGAAAAGCCAAGGCAAGTGTTAATTTTCCACTCCTTTTCATCCCCTGTCTGATTTTGCAACTCATGCTGCATCAAAAGCCATCAAGCCCCTCTCATGTTCTCAACCCGCCCCCCTTCCCCCCCCCGCAAACAAAAAGCCCAGGCTCCACCTCCAGAGGTGACCAAATGATCCAGGCCCCTCTCCCTCACCTGCCAAATCCCTACTAGGTTTCACCCCCTGACCACTCGAAATCCACTGATAGCATTATTGTTGTTGTTTTAAATTTGTTAGTCATTTTATCTTGCTCAAGGCAACCCAAAGCAACTTACAAAAAACAACTAAAAAAAACACAAAAAACTCCTCTACACAGATACAGTAAAACCAAGGACAGAGCATTAAAAACATCCCATCCACTTCTAAAAGTCCACAGATTGTTAAAGGCCAAGTGCCTGGTTATAGAGGAAAGTTTGTGCCTGGCCTCTTATCCTCCAACTGAAGCACTATGGTTAGATTCTTACAACGTTTTGTGGACTCTGTGGGTAATTCAACTTACTGCTGTTATATTTTTACTCTCAGGGAGCTGTGTTTGTGGCCTTTTCTGTCTCAGACGCCAAAATAATTCGACCAAACTTGGATACAAACTCTTTATTTATTTATGGTATTTACATACTGCTTAGTCATTAGCATTTATAAGTGACGTGAATAAAAATGAACCACATAAGAGAATAAAACAGTAAAAAGGCATCATAAAACAAAACACTGCCTTCAAATGCCGGCTGGAACAAGAAAGTCTTTGTCATGTGACTAAGATTAGACCGGCACCCTCCACAAGACCTTAGTGATCAGACTGGGATATAAGGGATCAAGTGGTCCTTGAGATCTCCTGAGCCCCAGTTGTTGAGGGTCTTGTAAATGAATGCACCTTGACTTGGGGAGGGGAGCACCATTTGTTGTTCTGCTTGGGACAACAAAACGCCTTGGGGCAGCCTTGATGGCTTTTTATTGTTTGAGCGGGAAGGCAGAGGTGCAGTGCCCCTCCTTCAGAGCTTCACTGACTATCTGAACAAAATGGCTGCCGTCCTCATCACAACATCTGTGTATTCTTCTTGACGAAGTAGTATAGCAGCTACCTCATGGGAAGAAACTCTGCTTTCTCACATAACAGGGCAGCATGTTCTAGGGGTGGAAGGTGTGCCGTTAGGTTTTCTTAAAAGACGCATCGTTGCTATTTTCAAGTATTAAAAATTTGGGACATTTCCCTTTACTTGATGTTATTCAGGCCACAATAGCTATTTTTCTGGATTATCTTGACACAACCAGGACAGCTGGCAATTTTCTTTGAAAGGGCTGGGCACATGTCTGGGTCACTGCAGGGTTCAAAGAAATAATAATAATTCTGGCAGCTGAACGATGACAAGCTGGAATTCAGTAAGTGAAGTTTTCCCTATCACTGCACCTCCCTGCCAGGAACGGCTGCACCGGATGCATTTCTGTTTGTGGTGCAGCTGTTAAAGACACAGTCAGTCTGCCAGAAAATGAGACAATTTGTCGGAGATCTGGCTCATCCCCTCTTGCCCGGTAACCACTGCCTGCTGGCTCCACCACTATGACATTCCTTTCCCCTCCACCCGTTCACTGCCTTTTAAAATATTGTGTACATCAAAAGCATCACTGTAAATAAACAAAGAAGACAGTGTTTTCCATTTGTGTACAGTTAGACTCATCAGCCATACCCACCCACCTGTATATTTAATAATATTACCGGTAAATAATATGTTTATGATGACATAGTTTCTAAGCGGTGTACAATAAGGCTACAAAAAAGCTACAACAGTGATAAGATCTGTTAAGATTAACCATAAAATTAAATTAAAATGGCTGCTGATATAAGGTCTTCACCAATTACAAGAAATTCAACAAGGAAGGGGCTGAATTCCACAGAAGTCTGAATGCAGTTGAGTGTTTGGGCCATGGGCTCTGTAATGGGAAAAGCAAAGTTACATAGGCCAAATTCTCCTATGTAACTTTGAAAGTCGTAGGGCTCCTCTCAGGGTTCGGACCTAGCACCTGACCCACACAAGTGCTTTGTACTTATCTTTGGCACCCAGGCAGCCTGGGGAGAGCAGCAGAGGCATGCTGAGATCTGAGCATGTAGTGGTCATTATGGGGTGGAACAGAGTTGTGTATTGGGTAAGATCAGTTTAGCTCTGACCTAGGCCAAATCAAGCCTCCCAAAGATTTGTTATATTGGTGCCACATGCTTCCGCAGGGCAGTTCCATATAGTGGATGAGGTCCATTTGATCTTCAGGGACACCAATTTGCATTAAAAAAATGTCCACATGCTAATTCACATGCATAGGTGCAAATTTAGAGATTAATTTAAACAGAAATGCAATATGACTCACCAGAGTGGGAAAACTGTTACCAGGTGACCTGTTGGCCTGCCTAGTCAGTGGTCCAGGTGCTGCTCACTGGTGATGGGCAACTTCGAAGGCCCCTCCTGCTTTTCCTTCCAGTGGTTCTTTTTTTACTTTAAAGTGGACTTGGGCCAGACACAGCTTTTCAAATAGAGGACTGCCCTCCATAAAACAAGGACCACGATTACCCTCACCATAATCTTGAAAGGAAGGGTAAATCGAGAGATAGTGAGTGGGTCCACTAAGCCCCTGCATGGCCGAACTAAAATTTGAACCCAGAATGCTGGACTAGGTGGGCCGCTGACTTGATCCAGCAGTAAGGCTCTTATGTTCTTCCTGAACTACAGACCTTCCCCAAGGAAAAGAATGAGGTTGCTGCAATCAGCAGCTGAGCCCCTTAACAAGGTTTGGGCCCTGGCAGTTGCTCTGTTTTGTTGGCCTCTGTGGCACTGGCCATGCCCAAAGCCTTGCTATCTGCTGAATGTGTGCGTGTTAATAAAAGCTGCTTTTAACATTTCACTTAATGAGGCAAAATCCTTCTTACCTGCCTTGGGGGCCAAAAAGGCAAGCAAGCTCTGGAGAGCTATTCACATATTTGCATGGGCTGGTGAAATCTGGAAAGCAGAGAGCCCCTCTCCACAGTTTGCCCGTGACAATATTTGCTGGTTAATAAAGACACCAAGGATTTCATTAGCATAAGTCTGCTCAAAGTTCCATTGGTTGACAGCTGGAAAGTGTGTGTGTGTATGTGTTGTGTGTGTGTGTGCGCGCGCACTTGCACAAGCATGCGGGAAAGAGGAGGTTGGTGGCACTAATTATTATTTTGGTTTTGCTCTTTAAGTTGTGGGGCAGGAACTGAAGAGGGGACACCCACCCCCTTGCCAAGTGTGCAGAAAGATGCTCTTTTATGGATGAGGAGTGAGGCAGAGTAGGGGAGAGCCACCTCACCTCCTTTGCACCTGGAAACCCCTGCAAAGCTCAGCTTGCCTTCTGTGCCGTTTTTTAAATCCCTCCCCTTCTTTGCAAGGAAGGAACTTCTCAAGCTGAACTGTGAGAGGGTTTGCTGCTGCTGCTGCTGCTGCCGCTGCTGCCGCTACCGGCTTCCAGGGAACAGAATGCAGAAGGCGAGAGAGAGATGTGCAGGGAGTTTTTTTTTCCTGTGGCAAAGTCAAGAGGAGCATCAGAGCACCGGTGAAAGGGGGGAAGAAGAGAGAGAAAGAGATCTTGGCAGGCTGCGGGGCACCATCCCAAAGGCCCATGATGACCCCCCCACCGGAAAGGATGGGAAATCACCTCCAGGACTGTAAGTGATGCTGAAGCGGGAGAGGAGCAGAGGGAAAGAGATGGGGGGAAATTGCTGGGCACTGCAGAAGAGTTGGGCGTGTTTAACCTTCACCAGTACAGAGCTGGTGTTGCAAAGCTTGGGCACCCAGAGGGAGGCACCTTTTGGGGGTTCTTGCAAATGGAGGATGGGATGGGATGAGCTGGGACACCCTCCCCCCCCTTTGACATTTTGGAAGCAGCACCATTTGCCAGTTTTGCAAGGGTGTGTGTGTGTATTTGTGTTTTGGGCAGGGGGGGAGTTCCTTTGGGGAGGCTGGGGAAATCTTTCAAAAGCCCTAGGTGGAAAAGAAGCGGCTTCTGCTGAGAGCTGCAATTTTCTCCTTTCTGGGTGGTCCAGAGAACAGAGACCCTCTCTAGGGGATTTGGGAAGAATTAGGGTCAGCAGAGGGAGTTTGTCAGAATGCTGAGGAAAAGGGAGAGGGTGGTAAAAATAAATAAATCATCCTAGCAGGGTTGCCCCTTCTTTCTCCCCCTCTGCAATGGGGTGCATGATCAAGTTTTGCAGAGGAAAAGTGTCACCAAGTAAAGCACACAGATCAGGTGTCCAGTCACATTCAGATCTGTAACTTTTGGGGACTTATTGTGTCAAATTCAATTTGGAAAGCAGAATTCATAAGACGTCTTAGTGGCTTTGAGGGCAGCGCCATTCTCTCTTCCCCCATGCAGATGGGCTAGAAGAATGAACGACCCTCGTTAAGCAGACTAATACAATCCTGACCCCCATCAATGCTGCCCAGAAGTGCAGAATCTCCCTATCTTGGTCAAGCGTGTATATTAAGTTACTTCTGGAGCCCCAGGCCTAAAATCCTGGACATTTGGTAGAGGCTAGTCTTGTATACGTGTCCAATGACAAAAACTTGTGAAATGAGTAAGACAGATAGATAGATAGATAGATCTCAAGAGTGCACTTAATGTGCTGCTGTGTTGTTTTAATTAGGGTGTACAAAAAGATGTAGATAAAGCCTAATATTTACTGTGGGATTCTCTCTCTCTTAATCCAAAAATGCAAATGGAATACTAGGCCTTGTGGTAGGGAGGCATTGTGTTGAACTGGGCTCCTGAACACTTCATGCTGGTAGCTAGACTTTAAATACATATATGTTCTTTTCTAGTCTGGTTTGACACTCATGGGCAAAATGTAGATTCTCTGAAGCTGGAAGGGAAATGACAGAAGTCTGTTGAGTGGTTGAATGTTGGTGTCGCATTTTTGCATTTTTGCTACTTTGACTCCAGTTGGAAAGATTATCTCTTTTGCTGGACCAGCTGTAATTGATCCAAGTGAAATTAATTTTGGTGGGTTTAAGCGGACAGACAGGTTAGGTTTTTTTCACTTCCTACCTGGCGGAGCTTGTTGATTTAGAGTAGGGTGTGGATTTGAAGAAGTTCCAGACTTATTTTCTTGAAACCTCTCTGCTCCTTTTTTTTTTTAATGTGTTCATCTGATAAAGTGGCTAATGCAGTCACTTTATAATGGGATCGATGGAGCTGGCAGAGGAGCAGGGCTGGCGGGTGGGTGGGGGGACGAGTAGAAACAGGAACTGGGCCAAGCAATGGCAATGAGTAGTGAAACTTGGAACATCTCTGTTAAGTGAGTGGCTGCAGAAACCCAGGGTTGGAGCTGGAAGGAGATGGGATTAAAAAGCAAGAGACTTCCTTTTATAGCAAATGCTGGGCAGCAAAAGGAGTGTGTGTGTGTGTGTGTGTGTGTGTGTTTCTCTTCATCCAATCTGCCTTTGGCAGGTTCCCCAAGAAACTTCATCAGTGCCTTGGCTTGGCTGGAATCCCTATTGCTTCACACGCGACTGAACCCCAGTCCCAACATTCTTCCGCCGATTCCTGAGCCCGGCAGAATCAACAAAATGTCCCTTCTCACAACCATCCCAAACTGGTTCTAGGCTGTGTGGATGACCCTCACCCCCCCCACTCCCCCTCCTCATTCCGCTCAAAAATATGAACTGCAGTGTCAGCGTTGGGCAACAGGCAGTTTTGAAAGGGCAGACCTTGAAATGTGGCCTTTTCCTACGTGCATCTTTCGTACATCTGTGTCACTCGATTTCCCTGCAGTTCATTAGTGTATCCTTGATGACTGGCAGCTGAATGCATTGTTAAGAGCTCTCTTGTTCTCCCAAATGATTAGAAGCTCAGGGCTAATATCTATCTACCATCTATCTATCTATCATCTATCTATCTATCTATCTATCTATCTATCTATCTATCTATCTACCTACCTACCTACCTACCTATCTATCATCTATCAATGCTTTCGTACGCCATTTATTGTGCACCGAGTGTTGCTCATCCCTGCAAATTTGTCGCAGCGTCCACTTGGCATCGCTCTTGTCAAAATCCCATCCCACCAACTCTGAGTTTAACCCAGATTTACCATGATTTTTTTTTAATTAATCAGATTTTCTGAAGAAATGGTGAATCCAGTGTAAATGGGAAAATAATACAGGGCAACATTTTGATGAGGATGGTGTTTGTGTGGATGATGGTGCAGGACTTGCAGGTACGGAGAGCAATGAATCCACCATAGATCATGGTGTGGAAATGCCCTACCTAGCGCACCATGGATGTGCCTGGTACTTTACCAGGCACATAACAGCTCCCTGCCCATAAAATCAATTCTGGGGAGATGCGGAGGAGGAAGAGGGAACAGAGGCAAGGGTAAATGCAAACTGCTCTGTTTCAGATGAACTTATTTACGCTTGCTTACAGGAGTGCAGGGGGCATTAGACTTTTGGGAGCCTGCGAGCCACGTTTGCAAGGTGGAGAAACTGTCAGGGTAACACACACCCACACCCACCACAACCTATTCTATTGACTACAACAGACAGCTGCTTTCAAGGCTGATTTCAGCAAGGAGAGGGGATCCTGCAAGCACCAGGGAAGATTTCGGCAGGTGCATGGATGTCTGTGGGCACCAAGCTGGCAACTGTCTATGGGCAATCGAAGTCCCAGCTGAGGACGTTGGGACCGGGGGCAAGATGGGGTGGGAGCAGGAATGAGAGTCCAGAAGCCGAGGGTCCGAGGGCCGAGAAGCAAGGAGTCAAGAAGCCGAGGTCTGAGGATCAGGAAGCAAGAAGCTAAACGCAGCGAGGCAGGAAACGTGTTGCTGTGGCAAAGAGCCGAAGGGAAATGCTGACCTTATATCCCTTCCGGCTCTAGCCACCAGGTGCAATGAGTTACCAAGCGGTCTCACCTGTGCCTTTCCTCTCCAGAACGAACTTAGGAAGGCCCCAGTCCTGCGAAGACCTACTGGTCACAGGGCCCAGCTCCTGAACGCACTCCTGACAGCAACCCCTGCTGTAGTATATGGGAAACTAGAGGGTTGTGCCACAGAATTCATGGAATAGGTGGCCTCTGAAGAGGGATTGTAAGTAAGTAAGTGGTAACCTCATGCAGTGTTCTGCACAGCGGTTCCACACATCTGGGCAGCAAGGAAGGATGATGTCTTTTGAAAGAGCAGGAGAGTTTTGGGTGGCTGCAGGTGGTGGAGCTGGAGACGTGAAAGTCATGAGCCAGGGTTTATTGCAGGGGTGGGGAACCTGTGACCCTCCAGATGCTGTTAAACTCACAAGTCCCATCAGCCTCAGCCAGCATGGCCTATCAGGGATGAAGGGAGTTGTGGTCCAGCAATAGGAGGGCACTAGGTTCCTCATCCTTTGTTTATCAAACTAGAAGAGCAGAGAGATGAGGAGGAGGCATGGCCAAGGACAGCAAAGTGAAGAAGGCAGCTGGGCTGGATCCACCAAGGACAGACAGGAAGGCAGTGGGGGGGGATTTTTGAAGGCACTGCACATTGTCAAAGGGGAAAGGTAAACGGTTTGGGCAGCCGAGAACTGGCTATAGGCTAGGTAACAAGGGGCACTTCCAGGTCTTCCTCCTGATTTGTTTGCAGAGAGAATAGATGGCGCTGCATCAAAGCAAGTGTTATTCCCAAACTTTCCAGTTATTCCCATCACTTTCCTTATTGCAAAAAGTCTGATATTTTGGGGAAGCAGGATTGTTGCACAAGCCCTCCAAAACAACTATGATTGTGCAACCTGAATTTCTCATTATGTGATTCCACCCAACTATAGTGACCCCCTGGATGAGCCCAAGGTGAGACAAGAGAAAAGCAGAAAGGATATGATTGCAGTAAGACATGATTAGGGGGGTTACATGTCTTCTATTTCCCTTGGAAAAAAGGACACTGGAGGCTTCGAATGTCTTTGTCATCTCTGTTTTATTTACAAGCATGCAAGCAAGTGAAAGCAAAGAGGCTCCTGCAGCAGGCAGGAAAACTACTGCTGATCCTGCATCAGATTCCCAAAGAGAGCAGCTGCTCCCTCCCCACCAGCTACTTCCAACTAAGCTTGAGCACAAAATCTCCCAGCTCTCTGCCTGGCTCCATTTGCCTCCCAGCCCCAACTGAAAAATCTCAAGAACAGCCCCTGAGCCTGAGTTCTTACTAGCTGAAGGGTTTCACCTTCCAAAGGCAGGGAGAAAGATTCACTCCAGAAAGAAAGCCACTCCAGGCTTGGAAACAGATTACCTGAGAGCCTTCTCAAATATCAAGCTACCCAAACCTTAAATTCATAGGATTGTAGAATTGTTGGAAGCACAAGGGTCATATAGCCTAACCCCCTGCAATGCAGGAATCTTTTGCCCGCCATGGGGCGAGCATTGTTTGGTGTTGGATTCACTGAACGTACATGTGTGAAGCAAGTTTTTATGACTGACAGCTGTGCATGTGTAGACTGATTCCACTGAAGAGCCTTTGTGGCTAAGGTGTCATGGAAGCTCTGTCTGTGGGAATTGCAGTGGCCTGGTCACTCATGCGATCCATCATGTCAGGTTGCAACAAACCAATTAGGAACACGGGAAGCTGCCTTATACTGTGTCCACCTTGCCCAGAATTGTCTACACTGACTGGTAGCAGCTCTCCAGGGTTTCAGGAAGGAGTCTCCCCCAGGC